GTCATTCTTTGACGTTTTGCCATGTACTCCGAGTAGTCTGGTTGGTGATTAGTTGGGAATCAGAATGAATTGTAAGCTTTTTCACCGCCAAGTCTTTTGCCATTTGAAGGCTTGCTAGTAGGGCTTCGTACTCTGCTCCGTTGTTGGATGCCTTGAAGCCTAGAGTAATCGCCTGCTCGAGCATCGAACCGTCTGAGGAGATAAGGACCATGCCTGCTTCTGAGCCTTTGTAGTTAAATGCGTCGTTGTAGTGCAAAGGCTAGAAGTCTCCATCGGGCGAAGTAGGCATGGCTAGGGCATGCTCGCCTGCCTTCGGAGCATCGTTGAGTTACTCTGTTGCCTCGCCTAGGCTAGGCATGAAGGCACGGTAGGGAGCCATAGAGCTGGGGTCATGTTACACATAGCAAGAAATGCTCAACTGCCGGTATCGGGCTACTCTAGAGCTGAATTATGGAGCAAGGGTCAGATGGGGCCGTGTAACGCGCAGCAGGAGGTAGTGCTCAACTTGCCGGTACATGTTGCTCCTATGTAGAATATTCTGGGGTGACATGGACAAAAATTGATTCCGAGTGTCCTTCTAGTGTTCGTTTGTCCTTGGTGTGCCTTTTAAGCTGAGTTGTTGCGTTCGTCAAAAAACTTTGCATCACCAGTGTCTGCGCCTTTATCGTCACGTGTTTGGATTGGGCGAAATAGTGCGTCATGAGGATGACTGCGTGCGTCTAAAGGTATAACTTGAGCTTCCGGGTTGCAACAACTGTTGCCAAAGTTAGCTTTTGAATTTTTGGTAACTGATTTTCGCATCGAGGAGAGCTTTTGAACTGTGGAATACAGGTAGTTGGGCTCCTAACTCTTCTTGTATGAGGTTAGAGCTTATTGATGCTTCAGATGCGGCTATTCGTCCAATCAGACCTTGAATTTCCTTTAGAGTAGTGGAGGACTTCATATTCAAAATCGCTCGAATTTTCCTTGAATGTGCATCAGTGAACCTCGTCCCAAGGTGCATGCTTCTCTACCAGAGCGAAAGAGTCTCCCAGAGTTAGATCTTCTTTCATGATTAATTTTCTGAACAGCAGGTGGTCTGCTAGGAGTCCTTTTTGGAAGACTGCTCTAGCTATCGAGTCATTGTATCTGACTATCTTTGCCTTCTTTGCTTTGAACCTCTTCACAAAATCGCGAAGCGACTCCTTTGGGTTCTTCTTGACGTTGAACAAGTGGTAGAACTTTTTCTTGATTGAGTGATAGGATGAATATTCTTTGGTGAATGTGAAAACCAAAGAAAACTCGTCGAAACTCAGGATAGATTGTGGCGGCAGGGTATAGAACCAATCTTGTGCCTCGCCTTGTAGAGTGGTGGCTAATATCTTGCACATGAGATCATCGTTATTTCAATAGAGGATCATTTCCCTTCGGTTGTGCTTTAGGTGTCTCTCCGGGTCTTCATCCCCTTTGAAGGAAGTGAAACGTTGCATGCTGAACTTGCATGGAGGCTCTGCTTATTCAATCTCGTCCGTGAAGGGTGACCTGCTTATGTTGGTCATGTTTCATCGTAGTGCCTCATTAATGACCTTGTTGCATTGGAAATCGCGCAATAGCTCGGTCAGGAGCCTTTCTACTTCTTCCTGAATTTGCCTTTGTTGGGGGGTAACAGAGTTCTTGGTTGCCCCCGATTATGACCTACTGGTCTAGGCTGCTCTTCTACGTGCTCAACTCGTATATACGGCGGCTACAGTACATGTGGTTCGTTCTTAGTAGGCGAGGGAATTCTTCGCAGGCTACTGGTTGAGCTTGAGCTGGACTGAGTGACTGCTTCTTTCCGTCCTTCGTGCTGCTTACTCCGATGTGAGGTGAAGGATGCTCATTGCAGGCCTAGCCGCGAATGAACAATTTGCTTGGAAGGTTGCTCATGTTGCCTATTGGAGTGTTGCCCCAATCGTGAATGTATGCTCGTATGTCGGCCTAGTCGAGAGTGCACGCTCCTTCGCACGCTAAGACGGGAGTATACGCTATTTAGGGGGCTCAATCAGGAGTGTACACTACCTGAACACTTGGTTTATGGCTAGTCGAGTGGCTGCTTGCCGGGACACTACTGGAGAGGTTCTTCATCTGCCCTTGTCCTACTTCGGGACACCTCGTCTGGGGCACGTTGCATCTCGGTGCGCTGCAAGAGCTGATTCACCAAGGTCATCTGCTATGTGAGGGCACTCGTCAATTCTATGACTTGTCGAGACAAGTGTTGTTTTCTATTTGGGTTGGAAGAACTTGGAAGGAATGCATCTCCTTGATCAATAGAAGTGTGGTAGACTCCAGGCGCGAGATTTGAGTTGGAAAATGTCAAATCCACTGAAAAGTGTGGTGAAAATCCCCCCGGTTCAATCATATGCCCAGAAGTTTGAAACGAGGATGGTTGAAATAATCTTAGGCCGATTTGGAGCAGGTTGGGCTGTAGGAGTGGGCTGCTTGGCGTGTGGCGCATGTGGGTGCGAGGCTAGGGCTTAGCTTGGCAACGCATTGGGCACGCGTTGGGCTTGGGCGACTTGACTAGGGCTTAGGTCCTCGAAGGTTGAAGTGGCACGACTTGGGCCATGGCCTTGGCGCTATGGGTTTTGCCAAGGGTGGCCACAGTGGTGCCCCGTGGGGATGGTGCCGCTCCATTCATCGTTGTGTTAAGCCTTGTAGATCGCCGCGGTCCTAATTCTTGAACATTTGAAATTTTCGTTCGTCAAGGTTTCCGAATCCCTTGCCATTGTACTTTTCTTTTACATTTTATCGAAAAATTTTTAGAAATAAAAATTCCAAGAATAAGAACGTATGAAAAATATACAAATGAACAAGAAAACGAAAAACCTTGGATGCGAGAGTCTTCTACAAGTGTGTGACTCAACTCTCAATGAAAGCACCAATTTCTAGATGCAAATTTCTTCCTCCTTGCTCTTGGACAAAATTGCACCTACAAAACAAATAACACCTTAGGTCAAGGCCAAGAGCCTCACGCGCCCACAATGAATTGGGGGAGGGGCTTTGGTCGAAGAACCTTTGAAGCCAAAGTTAGAATTTTGAGGGGAAAATGTTTGGAGAATTTAGAGAATTTAGCAAGAGAATTGGAATTGAGTTTTGGAGAAAATGAGATGGTATTTATAGGGGTGTGGCTGGCCCCTTTGGGAGGATGGGGACCAGCCACTTGGATGGTTTTTTTGGTAGAGATTTATGATTTGTTAGCTAATTAATAAATTAATTGGGTAATAAATCAATTAATTAGTTAATTAATATAATTAGAAAGGAATGATTTAGGGGTTATCTTGTGGGGAAGATTTGATGAGAATGGATGAAATAGGTTTCGAATAAATACCTATTTTGGGCACTTTTGACTTGATTGAGGAATGATTACCACTGCTTGCGCGTAGAAATCTTGGTGTGCCTTGAGGGTAATCTTGTCTTTTTAACCCAAAAATCCACTTGTCGCCTCCATATTCTTCTTGATTATTTTTGGCTCCACATTGTAAGGCTAGGATGATCATATTGTTTGGGTCATAAATAAAAGAAAAGCTTGTTACGGGGGTCAATCTATTTTTATTTACATTAAGTCCCACAACACTGGCTCACCAACTTCAAAGCCCAAGCTAGGATCCTATCCTAGAGCTCGGCGACTTGCTCACATCACTCCACAGCCATCCGAGGGCTCGAACTCATCTATCTTCGAAGCGTGTATGCCACGTAGACGATCATATCCGGGAATATCTCGCCTCCTTAAATGTCGATGAATACGTCATTCAACAGGCTAATGTCACCACAAAAGTAGTGTAAAAGCCACAAGACACAGTTGGAGGCCACCAAACAGGATTACAGTAATTGTCAGTGAAAAATGAACGAAGTCTAATTGATGGGATCAAGCTATAATAACTCAAATTCATTACTTTCTGATAGCAAGGCACGTGCCTTAGACACTAAGCTCACGAACACTCAAAAACATAAATGGATAGTCAAAAACTTCAATCCGAATAGGTAGATGACATGAACCCTAATAATTCGTATACTTACGATACACTCTTTATCATTTTGGATTGAGAGGGACTGCCGGAGCTTATGAGTTGCGTCCACGACGATTGAGTTAATCACCCATTTTTTTCTTAACTTTTCTAATTTAATTTGTCATGTTAGACAAGAACATGACGTTGAAAACAATGTTATCTATCTTGCCAACAGGAAGGCTACATATGCTTCTTTCCAACCAATTTCGTATAAAAGGTAAGTTCTTTAGCTAATGGAAACATCCGAAAAGTGAACTGATTGCCAAAATTGCGAAAATAGTTCTAAATGTGAAAACTATTTTATGGAAATATAATTTGTGAAATGTGATGACTATCGTGAAAATATTTTATATTATATATTTATTCACGAAACACATATTCATAAAAATATGTGAAAATCGTATTCAATCTTAAATAAGGTGACCAATATCAATAAAAAAAAATATAATAATGATATCTTTCTAACTACTGTTCAATTACCTAATCATATATGGTGGACTGCATTTATCATGTGAACAGAAATCTTGATTAAGGTCACATTTCAAGTCATTAATGAGTAATACAACTGGAAAACCTTGTTTACTGACATCATTCATACAAAAGCATTACGCGAGGGGCAACCTTTGAAAAATGGGAATAAAGATGGAATAGAAACTGAGTTAAAGAAAGTGAGGAAACAGAGAAAAATTGCCCTTTCTTCTATTTCCTTTTCAGACCATCACGTATCATGATTTAAATTGACTCATCCAACGATAATGATTTAAATTGATTATTTTCTAAGATTTTTTCGGTAGAACCTTTATGAAGGTTATTTAACTCATCCAATGATAATGATTCAAATCGATATCGTTAACACTGAACTACAACAGATTTATTAGGGAATGATTGGGCGTAGAAATAAAAAAAAACTATGATATATATGGTTCAAAGAGTTGCATAAAGAGTAGTTATACAGTGGACACTATTTTTAATTAATTAATCAAAGATTGAGGGGTATAACAGCTCTATCTTTTCTGTGCAAGGATGTGGTTGTTGTTGGCCATAAGTTACAACATCTGCGTTTGTGCATGCCGAGTGAGCTGGTCCTTCAGGACCGTTGTAAGCTAGGTTGATGTCCCTCATCTCAATCTTCTGGCAGGGGTTAGTTTGGCTACATTTCAATGTAATAGCACTCTGTGTGGTTGAACTACCCCATATATTACTGAACTTAACATCTTGAATCTGTACCCTCGAGGATTCCTGCACACAGTAAAATCAACTGACCCAATTATAATCAAAGTTCTACATAAGACCTAGATATTCATACATATTAACAAACATGTTGGTCTAATATCCAAGTGAATAGGGTGTTGAGTTTCCAACCATACGTCTTGGTTCGAAACTTCTCCCTCCTTTAAATTATTGTAATAGTTTCAAATCATTCTTTTTCCCCTAAGTAATAATACACACACACACACATAATACATATTAATAAGGATCATATTGTATATACAATGCACATCTTTAATTTTGTTATCAATTAATATACATCTTTAGATAGCGGTACTCCGATCAATTAAAATAATTAGATTTCTTGGATGTGAGTCACATTTGTATTAGAAAGTGGCTAGCAAGAGTATCAACTTTATGTGTCCAAACAACATCACTTTATTATTAACCTCGTGCCATAGTAGATTTTGATTTTGATATTTCGTTATAGGGACATTTTCATGTAATTATCAACATGTATAATCATAATAAACGTAACTAATCAAATGGCCAAAATCAAAATATGATCGAACACTTGGGCTTAGTCAAGAAAATCATCTTACCAAAGAATAAAAATGCAAATGCCCCTAAACCTTTATTATTTTCCGTTAAAAAAAAATATATGTTGTTATTATTACGTACCGTTGTACTGCAACTACGTGCAGGGCAATATTGTTGATCGATGATGATGGGGTTATCGACCTTATCGATTCCAACGTACTCAACGGTAAGATGTGAAACAGTGCCTGGTTGGGAGGGAGCCCATGTTTTGACTCTCACTCCATTTGTAGTACCAACGAAGGTGCAGTTTCTTATGTCCACGAATGACACATCGTCACCAGCACCCTTGCCAAGGCTTCCAATGCTGATTCCGTGGCCCGGACCGCAGTGAACTCCGCTGATTTTTATCTTGTTTGATACAAAACTGAAGGATATGCAATCGTCCCCGGTGTCGATCATTGAATCCAAGATTTCGATGTGGTGTGATGTACCAATGTGGATTCCGTCGGTGTGAGGGCTGTCACCGGGAGCTGATACGGTGATGTTCTGAATCGTTATGTCATGGCTCGCAAAAAGGTTGATGTGGACGTTCTTGCTGTTGATCGATGTTATGTCATGGATCTTTGAATTTGTGACGAAATCCAATCTCAAGGTCTGACATAAAAAAATGAAAAGGAAACAAAAACATTAAAAATCAGCAATATCCATACATTCAACGTAGTACCATTCAAACAATATTATACAGAACTCGTCCATTCAAAAAGATTGATGGTATAATAAGAAAATCAACATATCAGTCACATATGTAAGTGAAAAGTTTCATATTCGAATTTCATAAATAATAAATTTGATACCAATTGATTGTTGATCTATTATGAAGATGACATCAATTTTTTTTCATTATTATCGTTGTATTAAACAATAAAATAAAAACCTGTTTTTCTAACGAATATTGCTTGCTCATTTCTTGTTTAAGGAGTTATCTCATTACCTACGAATTAGTCGCACAAATTACTAATTAAAATGGAAGAAGTTTTACGCACATATCAAACGGTAAATGATAGGTAATAATTAAGAAAGCAATCATCTATTATTCAAGAAAGGGGCAAATTATATTGCTTTTGACTACATTTATTTACAATATCTTAGTAATGATTGATTTTTTAAGAATCACTTTTGTCAACTATATCTTTAATAAAAGCAAGACACTTTTAGGAATAATGTTAGGCCGATCATTAAAAAAAAAAAAAAAAGAAGGTCTTTTAAATTCAATCCAATTTGAGCAATGATCTTTTAACTAAAAATTTATGGTCTTTTCGTAAAGCTCCATTAGAACCCCCGTCAAAATAAGTCATGTGTCACGCGTATGAGGTTGAATTAAGGGGCAAATATGGAAAACCAAATGAAAAAAATTATAGCAATAGTTCCTCAACTTTAACCCAATTATAGCAATGATCCCTCAACTGTAATTCAATTGTAGCAATGACCCTTCCAACGTGAGTCATTTTAACGGAATTTTGACGGTATTGACGAAAAGGACCATAGATGCATATTTTAATAAGTTAAGGGACCAATGATCATGGATTTTTAGTTTAGGAACTATTATTTTAATTGGGTTAAAGTTAAAGAACCATTGCTACCGTTTTCTCTATAAAAAAAAAAAACATAATACTTTTATGAAAAAACATAATATTTCTAGCATTATTTGATTAGATCCAGAAAAAATGGCCAAGCAGCATGAGGCAAGACTTGACCTGTTCTCATGCAAGTTCAAAATATTATATATTTAACAAACCCGGCAATGGAACTTACGGTAGGAAGTCGCTTGCAATGTGGATCGTTCTTGCAGTTGTTATAAGACCAAGCAGAGGGACCTTGGCACTATAAGAAAATAGGGCTTATGTGACGATCGATATTTGTCACAAAAAGAGAAAATGTGTCATATTTGATAATATGTGACGTATTTTCAGCATCACAATGAGCGTCACTTATGAGGCGTCATCGAACGTATACGTGGTGAATGTCACACTCGTCACATATTTTATGTATACGTGACACCATTTTCGCCACCTATTAATTGATTCAAATACCAAATTCAGGAGATATGTGACGAAGTAAGCGTCACAAAAAACATAATTGGGTGACGTATAAATCCGTCACGTATCGTATGTGCAAGTGAGGCTAAAATCGTTACCTATTTATTTGATATGTGAGGCGTGGTGCGTCACATATGTCAAAGTCAGATACCCATTTGTTTCCAATATGTGATGAACTAATTACCACATTCCTTTTATAATTTGAAATTAGAATTCATAACAAATTAAGGTAATACTTGAGTAAATCACATTTTTATTAATCAAGAATTTAATCACATAAGTCGAAAACCAAGTGACGTCTCAAAATCTAACATGAACATCCACAAAACTAAAAGTTTTGAGTAGGATACACTCATGGTCTCTCATTTCAACTTAATAGCAATTCAACACCTTTAGACAATGAGGTGCTTGCTAACCAAAAAAGTCTATCCTGTGCTATTCGTCTACCCCTGACTTGCAGCCAAAAGACCTTCAATTGTGCGATAATATCTTCATTCCCCTTTTGCAAGTCCATTGTGCTCTCAGCTCTTTGTTCTTCTTTTATGGAGCTCTTATAAACATACTAGACACTTGGTCAATATTATTCAACTAGCAATGCAAGGAAAATCAATTACATAACTTATAGGTTCAAGTTCTAGTAGATAAAGTTATACTTATTTATATAGCTGCAGTAACGGGGAGCGCAGCTTGCCCGTACGAGAAAGAGAGAGAGAGAGAGAGAGAGAGAGAGAGAGTTGTGTTCAGGGTCCTTTCTTTTTCCAGCCTCTGTGTAGGGTGGGAGAGGTGGGGGGCTTTCAAGTGCTCCACCCGTCGATGAAGCGTAATAGACTTCCCCAACCCAAACCTCGACTTACAAGTGTGAAATTAACTTCTACAAGATGCAATCTGGAACCTCAAAACCAATATATTAAATTCAGCCCCGGACTCAGGACACAAGATGACTGGTGAGGTTTTTCGTTATCCACACGTTAATATCACTATTTTCACAGCATTTGGGAAACTGAAGTTGACCAGAAGGTTATAATATATATCCAAAGATTAGCCACAAATGCAGATAAAGGGAGGGCTTCTTGAAAAATATGTCAATTAAAATCGATATAGGATGCACGCATTGAAAGCCATTGATGGTCCATTAGCTTGAATGTGATGCAATAGATGAGATTGAAAGCTGATTCATTTTCTGTCAAACGAAAAGAAAGAAACATGATTACATTGAACAAAATACATGAAACGGCACATTCAAGCTGAAGACAAAGACACAGAGGAAAAACCAAGATGGATATTCATCCGAGACAAAGGAAGAGCAACAAAAAAGTAAAGACAGTTAAACTTGGAGTTTCCATCAAAAGCCAAAGGAAACTGCACAAATCTGCACAGCCCCTAGCTAGTTCCTTACCATGAAATCTAACCCGTCCACATGCCACTTAATTATTTTCCTCCAAATTACAAAAGCATGTAAAAACATATAATATTGCATATATGAAGATGTAGTTGCAATAATTAAATATGATCATAGAAATAATTAAATATTTATTTTTTGCTTTGAATTTTGTACAGACGACAGGCCAAAACGGGGGAGGTGACTTGTGCATAATTCCTAATCTACTATGATCATAGAAACCCTTCACTTCAGTACAAAAAGGGCCAAGCCATGCACCCAGGACACAGTAGGATTCCCTGTCCCTTGCATCCACTGTGAAAACCACAGGCTCCACCAAGTATTTCCCCGCTGGGAACAAAACCACACCACCTCCATTGTTTTGACAGGTTGAGTCCATGCATCAATGAAAGCCTAGAAATAAATGAAAGAGATTGAAAAACAAATCCAACAGGTAAAGTTGATTTAACTAAACATTGATGTGCGTGACTCATTGATGTAGCGCCATCATCGGCATGAACTTTGGTAATGGAGCTGCGCCATCAAAAATTGCTTTAACAAATGTAATTTTATCTATTACATAATATAATATGCCGATTCAATCAATGGTGTATCTGGACCAAAATTATATATATGCTTTCAGTTTAGATTATTTTACCGATCTCTCCTAGTTTTAACGACCGGAATACGTGCAATTGAAGACAGAGTGCATACAATGGGCCTTAATAAAATTCTCCCGAGAATATCAATCCAGTTTAAGGGAAAAAGAGTGTCCAATTTATTGATATTTGGAATAGAATCAAGATTTATGAGTACAAATACATCCACGAAATACGAATAAAATACGGCATAAATTTACGAGGAGAAGAAAGAGGAATTTAATTTCCTACAACATCAAAAGCCTGAATGCACAGCTATCCAGTAATCGAGTTAAAAATAAAATAATGATTAGCCCCGGTATATTCATTCAGCAAAATGCTCCAAAGCAAGAGCAACAAGATGTTTAAATTACAATATATGATCAACTCATGCCTCAACAGTTTCAGAACAGGAAAAGAGCGGCAATTGCCATAGCCAGATACGAGAGGAAGAAGCGTACGGCAATCTTAGGCTGACCAGAAGGTCGAGGTGAAACTCCCGCTGTGGATCCACCGGTTGGCGCAGGAGCCAGGGCTGTAACGGAAGGCAAAGGTGGCTCAATCACATCACTCTCCGTCAGGACTGGATTTGGAGCCTCTGCAGGTGGCAAATATGAAGGGGTAATGACTTGTACCAGACTGGCTGGCTGAACAGGACTCATGTAGCTGGGTATTTCCTTTTGACGTAAACACAGGTTCTCTGCAACAATCAAGCACCAAATATTAGTCGCTAAAGTATGTCCGGTAATCTTAGTAGCTAAAAGAAAAATGGACTTGCACTCTGATTATAATCTACAAAGCGCTAATGCATCTAACATCATTCAGACCTGAAAAAGATGTATAGACGTACACACTTACTTTTGTATCTCGCGGCCGTTTTGGGAAAGTCCGTGATAACGCCATCAATATTGGCCCCTGAGACAAATGAATTGATCTCCACAGTTGGATCTGAGAAGAAGTCCCATGCTTGAGTTACAAACTCATTGCTGAAAAGTTCAACATAAACCGGAAGCTTAGCAGCTTGTAGTTTTGATACAACATCTGTTACTCCAGTGATAAATGCCTCGCTTTCGGGAAAGATAGAGGCCTTGTTGACGACCACAGAGTCCGCAAACTTCTTGATGTCCTCAACAGTTGAACTAAGGGTATCACCAATATTCTCTTCAATTTTGTAAACAAGTTCGTAACTGGTTTTCTCCTTGAACTTCATCAGAACAGAGCTATTAGTGGACTGAATCTTGACATTTAGCGCTGTCTTATTATCAAAACCTGCTTTGCTCAAGGTATTCATGACTGCATCAGTTACACTTAATCTCTGCTCCTCTGCAAGATACGCTGCGTACTGAAAGAAGGCAGTACAAAATGTTACCACCATAACGACATGGTGAAATTGTATTGAAGTCCCAAATTGGAAAAACAACTACTGAAGCTTCCAACAAACAAAGCATGAAATCATAGGCCAAGCAGTGAAACATGAAGCAAATACCCACCTCTATGCCAATCAAGACACCAGAAAGAGAGCTTGACTTCTTTGCCAAGGCCAAGAAATCAGATAATGTCAAGTACTTGCCACCAGTTTTGAACCTTGGATTCCGGAACAATGCATAGTTTGACGAGGGATTTGATATTGTCGCTACAGTTACAATACGAAAAAAATAATAGAACGGATGTCAAATTATTGTTCAAGAAAAGTGTTCTTGTTTGTGAATTCTTATGAAGTAACAGTTAATAGCACCGGTGACAAACGTTCCTAACAAGGGTCTCCCTACATGGCATATAAGGATTTAGGATGTCAAGGGAAGTGGTTATGTGTAAGATTAAAACACAGTGACACTCAAGAAATTTAAGTGTATTAGAAAGTTGGTAAACTTTTACCAGTGTCCTGTTTAGAAGAAAAAAAAAGGAAGAATATTTATCACCAGTCTGAGTTATAACATAATCTGAGAAATGGATGTCTTAAAACGGAAATCTCGTACAGACTTAAAGGTTCTATGGTTTGTGAAGAGATCATATAAATACGTAAAACAATAAAATTTGAACATCGCACTGATAAGCAAGCAAATGACACTCTATTTCTACTTACGGGTCAGGCCTTCAATGTCTTTCCATGCTAGGCTAAAGGTATATATTCCACTGCCAGCCTTAATTTCTGGAACAAACGTTGTGAGGTTGCTAAAACCTGATTGAGCAACTGTCGTGCTATCTATAAGATTTATAGAGCTTGCGCAAAATGGTATCCCATCCTTGGATATTTGTACAGGACAATCAAGTACATCTACCCCATCTGCAATTGCTTTTGTGTATGCCAAGTCAGTACAACTAGGGAAGTCTCCACTTGCTCCATATTTTGAGATAACCAAGGGCTTGGCTGGATCATAAGATAGATGAAAGAAATACATTATAGCAAAAATGCTCAGATATTTGCGTATATCAGTAAAATAAAGTCAGAATTTATGAATATCAACTCAGCAGGGCCAATTTTTAAATCTAAACACCACAAAACAATGATGTACCTTGTCCTGAAGCATTACTTGCAAGGTGAGCAAAACAATCTGCGGTAGTCAAGAAAAATCATCGTCATCAAGACAATTTTAATGTTTTAAATTGGAATAAGCAACAAATATTGACACCTAAATCAACTCTCCAAGATTTCAGTTAAAAGGGATCATAGTAGAAAAAAAAATGTTCAGATTAGAAGATATGTTGAATTCAGTTCCTCAAAATGTTAAATCATTCATAAGCATCCTATGATGCATTAAAAAATTTAATCTTCTTTCAAACGTATAGAGTTACGTACTAAAAACTAAATCTTATGAACAGGAAAAAGATAAGTTACCTATGGCCTCTGATGGTGTTATTGGGAAGTCAGATAGTACACCATCAACACTGAAGTCACCATTGTCAACAAATTGCAGGTACTCAGACACTGGATCGTAACTGTAATTGTAGGGTAATGGAACGTCATTCACAAAATCTGACGCAAATACGGTTAGCCCTTCTTTATGAGCATCCAAAACAACTGAAGTGTGAGGCACTAAATAATTATCATTCGTGACAGGCCATATGTAAGTTTTAGGAATTAGAATTCCTGAGGCAAATGTCTTGATAAATGTGAGATTCTTCAATAAGGAACCATAAGTTTGGTTGGTTGAAGGCTCTGTCTCATCTTGTGCCAAAAACCGAAAGACCAGCTTTGTTACACTCGGACTAACCCGTGATTTAATACTGTTCAGAAAAGCCACCTCCGGTGATGAGATATAACTGACAACCACTTGTCTAGATACAGAAAGCACATAGCTTCTCATGCTCAAGTTGTGTTGTGAGAAGAAAATATCATGCTGCAAAAGCATTAGAGAAAAGACATCTCTTCAAACAGATAAAGAAATCTAAAGGAAAGGTTAAAACGTGACTTCACAATTCTAAAGACAAGAGAAAGCTATAGTTTATCTTATACCTGAATATTCAACCATAAGCCTGGAGGTTTGAACTGCGTAGCAACATCTTCGACAAGGAGAATTGGGTACATATTGCCATCAAACCTATTAGCTCGAGAATATATCCCCTGAGTAACTGTATGGGTGACAAAAAATCAGTAAGACATTATAGGAGTTAACGTGCATTGTTTCTCTTACCAATAACAAATAGTAGTTAACATATACGTTGTCTTTTGCTTTCAAAGTGATATATACATTTTATGCACATAAATATATCTAGTGTATGCGGTGGTCGAGCTAGCATGTTATCTCAGAAATACTTTTAACATTGTATGTGTTACTTATTAAATTGTACATATGAAATAGTTTATACGACATAATAACATATAGAATGTCAGAAGTGTATCTAACATGACATGTTTGGATCGTAAAGTTTATACGACATAGTCTTCAAATTCAGCAGTCACCCTTTCATAAAAAATTAAGTAACCAAATAAAAAGAGGGGAAAAAAATGCAAATTCCTTTTTAGTTACTTCTGTATTCAAGTAACTTGACATGCACAGCCTTGTTAAAATCATGGCCATTAACAATATAGCAGAAACAGTTTCAGACAATTTGCACTCACCAGAGATATTTACTAGGCCATCCCAAGTATAATCCACGGTAAACCATCCTTTGGTACTAACTCCATTAACTAGGTAAGTTTTCTCCTTTTGCGGCAAGACCTCGTTAATATTGGAATTATTATTCAACAAGAGATCTGGAAAGCAAATTCCAGCTCCATCCTTCGTCAACTGAACATCACACCATAAGATCACATCGGGTACACTTGTGATCAATGCAAAATTGAACGCCGCGGAAGTAAAACCTGGAAAGAGCCCTGAAAATCCACCGCGTGCTACAACCTTAGGTGGATCTCCTGCAAACCAGATCAATCCAGTTAGCTCATTGAACATATAGTTGGGAAAAATTGTACCACAATAATACAGATTCCCAATTGGGAGCACTAACAGATTCTAGCAATTGTTCCCATTTCAAACCAATGGGAAATTATGAAAACTTTCAAAAAGATCGTCGTTTAAAAGCGCCGAATTTTGAAACCCATGTTTCACATTTCCTTAAGTTATTTTTTTATCATACATCTCCTCAAAATTAATACAGTCGGGATAGACCAATTCTCCTAGCCCGATTTCGAATTCAATCTCAGTATCAATCAAGCGGCTTTTCAGCTTCGTAATCAAAAGCAAGGAAAAAAACTAGTACAAAAAAGGAAGGCCAGAAAGCTTTTTTCTCCTTTGTTTAATGAAATTGAAAACTTTCTTCCCCT